TCACAAAACACAGAGGCTCTTCTTCATGAAATTTTGAAAGAGAATTTCCCAGACATCCCGAGGATTAGGACCTTAAGCTGGTACTAGGATATTGGTCACAGTCTAGTTTTTTGTTCAGTGGTGGGTTCACGGGGGTAGTACTTGTGATTGTTGTGCTTCATAACAATACTTGCACGCACTCTGTTATATGTATCTTTTAAAAAATTATACATATATAGGCGCATGTTGATGGAATATTAGTAAAAGAGTCCTACTCAAAACCCAGTATATATTTGTATGCAGATGGCAAGAACAATTTCAGAATACAGATCCAACTGCTAATTGGGAAATTTAAAAATGTGCAGAGAATTTTTATATGTATAAGAGTTTCATTTAAAATTTACGTCAGGGCATTTTAAAAATCATATTCATCATTCAGACGCTTAGATGATAAATCTCTTTACATATATAACTTTATATGAGGGAGAGGTGGCAGAAACGAAAATAGATGAGGACGTCATAAAATAATATCATATTAGATGATAGATTTGTTGGTTATCAAACCTTGATTTAAAGATTCTTAAATGCAGAGCTACAACTCTGAACATTTTTGGAGAATAAATTACTTTAAAATAATATTTTTTTTTATTCCAGGTTAATGTAAAGGTACAAACAACCAGGTCACAATATTTGAATTTGTTATGCAGGGTCCATCTTGTAGTTGTGTTCTGCACCCAAAGGAGAATAAATTACTTTTAAAAGCTTTATACTTAGTTTTTAAGTACTTGCAAGGCTGACACGAGTTAATTGGATAGTAGAAAATGATTAATTACCTGAAAATTATTTTGTCACTCTTCTTGTATCTTATGAAAAGCTAGGATTGCCATGAATTCTCTGTTCATTATTACCGTGTCATTTGTAATGGCAAAGTATTTGTATAATGCACATTTTATGGCACTTCTTTCCTCCCTATAAAATTCATACACTATTTTACGTTAGCAACAGATCTTTTAGGCTGTTATGTGGAGAAGAAGAATTTATTTGCACTTGTCTTCTGCCCCATATGTAAATACTCATGTTGCCGTGCTTGTCCCAAATGCTAAAATCAGAATTGTGGAATGAGAATCTGTATGTACTTTTACAGACTTCTGTAATGGAAATCTAGTGGAATGTTGCAGAGAAGTATAAGAATTAGACTAATCACCTCAGTATCACTGGGGAATAAATGTTAGAGCACTGAACTGGTGATTAGAGGAACCAAGTTGCAGTTTCCAACTGCTTATTTGCTAAATATGTAATATTCATTGACCATGTTTGTGCCTCACTCTCCTCACATTCATAAACAGGCAAAAGCCACTCTATCTTCCTTGGAGGAGTTTCAGGAGAAGGGATATAAATTGCTAAATATGAAAAACCTTTGTAATCTCAAGCAGTATGCAAATGTTACTTTGTCACTAGAAGGTCTTTTTGAAATTTCTCTAATATATTAAAATTCATAGTAAATTATAACAAAAGCTTATTGAGGCGTTTTTGAAATTGCCATGTAAACTACATGAATTTCTTAACAGAAATAGGAAAATGCCTCTAGGGTCTGTGTGAAAAATTATTTTATTGATTTTCACACAGATGAACTACTTAGGTGTAAATGTCAAAGCATATTTCCACATTATCTGGAGGATATTTAAATTTATTAATTAATTTGCCAAGTCAAGCTTTGCTATTTAACCTCAAGGGAGGCCAGTATGGTAATCTCTCTTCTTAGGTATGGAGGAAACACAAGTCGTGTTTCTCACAAGTGTCTATTCTGCTGTCAACCCTACATTAGGAATGCAGGGGACAGGCTGGATGGATCTCTGGGTTTGGAATTTTACAGCTACTGCAGGACCTAGTTTGACTTGTAATTTTGAAATGTTCACCAGCTTACCTGCCAGTTGCTTTTGGAGAAACGGAGTCACATACAGAAAAACTGAAAATGCACCCAAAAGCAATATGCTAATTTACAGCGAGAAATACTGTAAACTTATTTTCATACTACTACTAATGCATTACGTTTCGTTGTGTTCCTAAAGGCTTTTGAATTCATTATTTCACTTTAGATCCTCTTGACTACGGAATAAAATGAATTATTTTAAAGTATTTTATCTTCTCTATTTATCGGGTGGAAAATATCCAAAAGTGCAAAGCAATCCAGGAGACTATCTTAGATATAAAAAATAACATACTTTTAACAGTTCCTCATACATCTTCCGTCTTTTCTGTGCGTCTTTATATAACCGAGACCATAATGTATAAGTCATTTCAATGTTAAGTTTTCATTTTTTTTCTGGTTATGTTAGAAATGTATGCCTTTTGTAAAAACTCTGGGAAAGTCGTGGAAAACACACAAAAGCCTAAGACAGAAAATGAAAACTACATGTGATCTACTGTGGTTAACTGCTGTGAGCATGTTAGTATGTATTTCCTTCCAGTAGTTTTTATTAATTTTATTTTTTAAAAAACTCATCAGGATCATACCAAGGCAGAGTGCTTGGTGGGTACAGACACGGGCTTGGCTGGGACTGGAAGAAGATCAGCACTCTTCTTCCTGGACAGGGGTAGCGGCGTGAATGTTTTTCTTTAAAGCTCAGTTGCTCCAGTATCCTAACCCGACTTGTTCATTGTTCTTCCGATTCCCATCTTCGAGGCCCACCGGCCCCTGTCTACCTTTCAAATTATCCTCGATGGCTCCGCGGCCCTCACCTCTGCAGGTGGAAAGGCTCCCGCCCCCATAGCACCTTCTCGCCGGGTGACCGAGAGCTTCAAACCCAAACGGCAGGGTCAGAGCTCTCGCCCCGCGGCAGGGCGTGGACCCTCCTACCCCTGGAAGCATTGTGTCTCCCTCTGGAAGCTTTGTGTCTCCCTCTGGAAAGGTCGCGGCCAGGGAAGTCCTTGGTGGCTGCTGAGTCCCCTGCTCCAGGGTTGGCCGCTCTGAGAGGAAGGCCGTTCCTCGCGCCGGCCAAGGTTGTATCATCAGAGCGCACTTTTGTGGGCTCCGACTCCCCCCATTCTGCTGTTCTCAGGCTGGGAAGGCTGCTAGGCCCCGGGCGATCCCTGCAGGCCTCAGCTGCGGACCGCGGGCAGATCCCTTCCGACTCGATTTGCGAACCGGGAGAAGTGCGTCCCTTCTCGCTTGCCTTATGCCGGGCGAAGCGGGGACTGCACTACCGCGCAGCCTGCTGGAGGGGGGAACGCTCACGTGCGGCTGTCTCCCTCTCCGCGAGCGGCAGCGGCTCCGCGGAAACCAATACTGAGCCTACCCGCATCAGCTTCAAATTGTTCTGGGGGCCCGAAAAGGGGGCAGGAACGACCTTCCGCAAGAGCTAGGCAGAGGGCGCGCCTTTTCCCTCCCCCTGGGTCCACCTGGACTGCCCGAGCTGCCAGCACGCACCAGCTGCAGCAAACTTCCCCAGCCTCTGACAGCGCGGTGGGAGCATCTCAGGGGGTCCAGTCCCCGCTCCAGGGGCGGGACGGGGCGGGGCGAACGTGCGCGGGGCGGGGCGGGAGCGAGCTGGGACCGGAGGGAGCGCGCGAGCGCAGCCTAGCCGAGCCGAGCCGAGCCGAGCCCAGCCAGGAGGTGCCAGGGAGAGGCAGGCAGAGCCCTGCCGACCGCCTGCGGCTCAGCGCCCATCGTGCTGCGTTGTCAGGCTCCCGAAAAACTTTTATTCTCTGGGGCCCACCAGAGTGTGTGAAGGAATTGGAGCAATTGGCCGTCTCCTTGCTCCCTGGCAGCGACGACTGAAGAGACGTGCATCCCTCTCTTGCTGGGCTCTGGAACCCCCGAGCCTCCTCACCTGCTGATCGCTCCCCGGAGCCGCGAGGAGGCACCCCGGAGGGGCCGCGCGGGCGCCGGCGCCCCCGAACTCTCCCGCTCACCGCGGCAGACCTGCCCGGCGCAACTTTAACTTGATTCCAATCACTCATCACGGGCATCCGCAGCTGCTACCGCTGCTGCCGCTGCTGTCGCCGCTACGGCCGCGATCTCACAAAGAGGCTCAAAGAAAAGAGGCGAGGCGGCTCGGGTGGCAGAAAACGGCTTCTGGGCCGCTGACGCGGCGAGACAAAAGGGAAACTGCCTCTGCTCGCGCTGCGGGTTAGGAGCAGCCTGCCAGTCCGCCTCCCGGCCGGCCCGGTGAGCCTCCTGCCCCCACCCTTGGGCGCTGCTCCGCCTCCCTCCCCGCGGTTTGTCCCCGCAGTCTCCCGGACCGACGAGCCTTCCGGGCGCGCGTAGCTGCTGGTCGTTGGGGCTCTAGCGATAATAAATGATAGAGGATACAATGACTTTGCTGTCTCTGCTGGGTCGCATCATGCGCTACTTCTTGCTGAGACCGGAGACGCTTTTCCTGCTGTGCATCAGCTTGGCGCTTTGGAGTTACTTCTTCCACACCGACGAGGTGAAGACCATCGTCAAGTCCAGCCGGGACGCGGTGAAGATGGTGAAGGGCAAGGTAGCCGAAATCATGCAGAACGATCGACTCGGGGGGCTTGATGTGCTGGAGGCCGAGTTTTCCAAGACCTGGGAGTTCAAGAGCCACAACGTGGCCGTGTACTCCATCCAGGGCCGGAGAGACCACATGGAGGACCGCTTCGAAGTTCTCACGGATCTGGCCAACAAGACACACCCGTCCATCTTCGGGATCTTCGACGGGCACGGGGGAGAGGTAGGATTTCCCCGGGCTAGCTCGCTCTGTCTCCGCGCTCTCCTTTCTCCCCTCGCTCTCCTCGCTCCCGTTTCTGTGTGTAAACAAAAGGATGTAGCTTGCACCGCGGGGTAAGACCTGGGTGCCGAGGGGCGTGGTGACGACCTGGAGCCTTGCCAGGTAAATGCGGCCCAAGTTGCCAAAAACATTGCTGGATCCAGACTCCGGGGGCTGAGGGTTCACTTCTGCGAGGGAGAGTTATCGGCGGCATATTTCGTGTCTCTTTATATGAGGTTTCCAAGGCCGGAACCCACTAATGACCGCTGTTTAACAGTGGGGAGAATTAATGATTTCCAGTGAACTTTGGCCCCAGGCCTCAGTGCCCCTCTTCTAAGGTTTAATGCTGAGCTAGGTACAAAGAAAAAAAGATAATATCTTTTAATCTCCCCTTCTCTTTAGAGGAAAATACTAAAGCAGCCGAGCTGAGTGGGGTTCTTTGAGCGTCAGGGAAGCTGTTGACTCCTCCTTCCCATCGCCTTTGCTCTGGGAGGAATCCCAGGGGAGCTCTGCACCGCTTCCCAACTCTCCTCAACTTTGCAAGTGCAGTCGGGCCACTTGACAGGAGAGCCTGGCAGGTAGCCTGTTTTCAGTGGGATCTTGGTGCGGGACCGAGATGCCCCTGGTCTCTGTAGAGGCGGCAGTGCCCGCAGAAGAGGTGGTTCTCCTACCTCACCCTTGCGCCTTGGTGGGCGTGGGGGTGCAGACGTTCCCTGCTTCTAGAGTCTTTTGTTTGTGGTCCATCTGGGAATAAGAGAAGGGCCTAGAGCTGGGTTAGGCCCCTTCCCAGGTTTCTGCGGCACCAGGGTTGCGGCGCTGGGGCCCAGGTTTCCTGGAGGTCAGGGGAGGGTTGGATCTGACGCTTGCCATCTGCCCTGGGTGAGATGAGCGGTAAATGTGCCTCCAGCGCCTGCTCCAAAGAGCACCAGGTAGTCACCCTATCTCTTTCAGTAGACAGTGTGCTACATTTCACTGCGGTATACTCTTATTTTTTTTCTTGTCAGCATACTTTACCCCCCCTTCCTCTTTTTCATCGGCCCCCCATTCCCATTCAACTTACACACACACACACACACACACACACACACACCCCGGTCTCTTGGTGGGCTGTAGGGAACTGTAGGGATTGTCATTCTCCTTCAAGCATTTGCTTGTTCTTTGGCATTTGTTTTGGGTGAACATTGAGAAAGCTTTCAATTGGATATCTTATCTACATTCTCCACCCACCAATCTGCCAATCTTTCCATGATACTGTGTCTACCTGCCCTGTAAAACCTACTTTGCCAAGAATGACAAACTTAGTAGGAAAACTTATTTAGCAGAACTGAGATCAGTGTTGGCTATTTTCCATCCACACTAAGCCCTCTTACAGTCTGTCTTTCAGAATGACAGTTTCTCACCGGTTGTAATTTTGTTGTCTTTTGTGTCGTGTGGGCTTCCTCTCGAGTTGCACAGAGTAGATGAGAGATGGGATGTTAACTGAGAGAGGAGATGCTGCATACTTGGGTCAAAATATACTTAAATGACAAGGTTGCTGGTGTTATGACGGACTTGTTTTCTTGGCATAACAAATAATGTCTGTATTTTCATTTTTTGTGTCTAGACTTAGTGAGAGTAAAGAAAGCTGTGATCCTCACTTCTGCAAATCATTTAATAACAATATATTTATTGAATACTTTTACATTAAAATTGTTGGTTATTGAAAATCTGATTCTAATCTTAGAAAGCACAATTTTAATTTACGGGTCTGGATGTCATGTTAGTGTGGTGAAACTTTGGGTTGCAGTTATCTGAGTGTAATATATTGTAATGATACATGTAAGTGATAGGGTGATTTTTAAATTTTTTTAAGTTGATATTTTAAAACCTGAAATGCAGAAACAAATTTCAGGTTGAGAAAGTCCCCGTACTATCTAGTGGTAAATGTATCATCCAGATAAAGGACATGATAAATTGTTTTATTTTACTAAAAATATTTTATATGCACATGGATTTTCATTAAATTTTTTTCTGATAAATGAAAAGATGATCATTGTTAGCCAAACCATGAAATGCTGTTCATTGTGCCATATATTAAAAAAGCATGCTGTCTACAAGACAACTGATATTACCAAAATCTTTAAAAATAGAATAATTGTTTTCTCTATAACCTTCTACTATGTGTAGCTAGTTCATTCATTTTGGCTTTGTTCTAGGAAAAAGTACGGGAAGCGCTGTAATAGGAATTATTTAGATGCTATTTGGAGTGTGGTTATAACAACTGACATAATTTCTCTTTTGCTTTTTCTTTATATATCATTCAAAGAAAATCACGTCATCTAATTTTTGTCTTTTGCGTTGTTTGGCTCCTTTAACATTCACCAGAGGAGGGTGCCGCTGTTTGATCTTGCTATAGATCAAGTTATCTCCTTTCAGAAAAGGGGAAGCTTTTTCTGAACTTTCTATTATTTATATGTCTATATAAATAATACTCTAGAGAGTATATATATCTCCTTTTTCTAGAGTGGTACAGAAGATAAATGAGGGGTTTAATTTTATTTCTAATAATTCACACTAATAAGATGGGCCATATAAAAACAGTGCCCATCTCTGATTGTAGTGTTTTTTAGATCAGAAGGGTCCTTGAATATCCTTATAGATCTATTTCATCTTTGTATATCAATTTCATCTCATTATTTTTAGATGAGATGATGGCTGGAAAAGTCGTGACTTTCTTAGGGCTAGGTAGCTAGTTTTCACAGCCTTCAGTTTGTTAACCCCCTGAATATATTGTTTCGAATGCATATCCAGAGAGATAGCACCCTGGGGATGTAAGGGTGAATGAAATACAACCCTCATCCTCAAAAAGTTTCAGACTAGTAGGTGAAACAGACCCCTATGCCAAACAATGTAGTCATGGTGTGCTTAGGGTGTTATGGAAATGCAGGGAAGGTGAGTGGCCCAGGGAGAAAGACACGAAAGGTGTAGTTTATTGCAAGACTTGAGATCTGGCCTTGAATAATTTGCTCTGCCTTATGCTATACTGTGACCTTGGGCAGGTTGCTTAGGCAGCTTTATCCAGACTTTATTATCTAAAAAATAGGGATAATCATGCATGTAAGATGTACCCTCATCAATTCTATTATACCCTATTGAAAGAAGTACCTAACGGAGGGAAGGAAGTGGAAGAAGAAAGCTCAGGGACCAAGGAGTCTGCAGGGCTTGCAACAATATATAGGGGAGAGACTGTACCTGAGGGAGGGCTAACTGTGGTCACTAGAAGGATGTATGTTGGACAGGGATAGTGTAATTAGGTATCCCCCAAATGCTCTCTTTTTGCTATACTGAACTTGTGATTACTAATGAAGGATTCCAGGTATTGGAAACATTGAGAAAACAACATCCTGGCTTCAGGTGCAAATTTTCTTATTAGCAAAAAGGAATATTCTCTATGATTAATTAATAAATCGGTGTTTTGATTTGTAATTGAGCCTCTTACGAGTTGAATTATCAGGAACTAGTTATCTTGAGTTTATTTAACTGCAGTTTCTTTGTAAAAGGTATGTCTTTGGATGTGTTATGCTGAGGAACAGACTCTGGATGGCTGTAATTTCTTCTAGATGGATGAGGTCTTAAAAGGCCTTATCTCTGTCTTACAGGCCAGCTTCCTCTCTTGATTCCATTGGGCTCTTGAGACAACTAACCAAAATACCGTTGGTGGATGGTTGATTGTGTATGTATACATCTAAAGCTATGGCAGTGATGTTTTGTTACATAAGGTTGAAAAAATAAAAGATTAAAAAGAAAAGTTCAGATTATATCAATTGATGTGCAGAGGTTTCTTTTATTTTTTATTTTTTTGAGACAGAATCTTACTATGTTGCCCTTAGTAGAGTGCCGTTGCATTACAGCTCACAGCAACCTCAAACTCTTGGGCTTAAGCAATTCTCTTGCCTTAGCCTCCCAAGTAGCTGGGACTACAAGCGCCTAGCACAACACGTGGCTATTTTTTGTTGCAGTTGTCAAGTGGCCTGGGCTGGGTTCAAACCCGCTACCCTCGGTGTATGTGGCTGGTGCCGTAACCACTGTGCTATAGGTGAAGAGCCAAAAGTTTACTATTTTTAAAGTTTAAAAATGATTTTTTTTTAATCTAGGAAAATGCTTGTTTCTGTGCTTATCTATAGTTTTTATCCACAAGCAAAACGTGGTATTTTTGTTTCTGTGTTTATTTTTATTTACTTTTTATGCTATCAAAAAAAATCACTAATCTTTGGAGGCAGCTTTATCAATGTTCATGGATGAACCCTCCTAGAAGAATGGATTGGTACGTGCTCCATGTACTCATGGTCGTTACTGTATTAAAGATCTTATAGACCCTGACAGGTGACACACAGCTTGGCCATTGGTTAAAGCTTAGAGTTCTGTTTTGCGTCAGAGCACAGCTATACTTCAAGTGCCTGTCGGGGGCTGCAGTATTGAGGGACAGCACTTTTCAGAAGCTCAGAAAAGAAACTGCTTTGGAGGGTTGTCTAAAAGACATATAAAGTGTGATTCTTTAGATTATGGGTTTTTAACTTTTCTTGGGTCATGCTTTCCTTTGAGCATGTTATGAAACTACAGACATATCCCTTCAAAAAATGGACATGCAGATAAAATTGTTTATAATTTCAAAGACAAGCAGATGCCTGAAGCCTCTGGATTTCAGCTTAGTCTAGATAGAATAAAATCTGCTTCTGATGAATCTAGATCTGCCAGGAACTGTGTACTGGAACCCCTTCCTGCCTCCCTCCCTCCCCATCATTTACTGGCATTGACTTGTGTGCTGCCATTTGCCTGGGAAGGTTGTATGAGAAGTCTTCCGAAGCTCTGAAACCAGCCGCAAGGAAGTTGTTGAGGACCTTATTTATTACATTGTTTAGTATCACCCTAATGAGGACAAAGGGAGAAATAGTACTTGAACACCTTTATGTGCTCATCGTAATTAT